TTCTCCAGCTGCTGGGGGTCCTCAAATAAGAAAATGAGTGAAGGAAGGACATCTCCAGAAAAGGACCACCTGCCCGGCCCCGACCACAGAGAAAGGCACTAACAGGGTTGAGACGCCAGCGAATTTTATGACTGAGGGTTCTGGTCTTTCCCCCCATTAGAAAATGCCACTGAGGCCAAATGGAAACATTTCTCGGAAGCCTGTCAACTCTGACAAAATGTCATTTAAAGCCCCCTCAGAAGAGAACACTCTGCTAAGGCTGTAACTTTCCATTCTGACGGTGGGAACAGAACACTGTGAGTTTTCATTTCTAAACAGGTTTTCGTTATATTATGTGATGTATTATATAAGAAAGAACACGAACAAAACCTCTTAAGGAAAAAGCAGCTGTCTTGATTTTATCAAAATTGTGTTCTTACACTGACTGCAATATGGGTTTTTGGCGGGGGTGGTTTTGGTCTCCTGGGAAATTTTGTTGCATTTTTTTTCTTACAGACCCTTACGTAAGTGCCTGTGCTTGAAAGCGCAGGGCAGCAGAAGCGCAGGGCTGGCTTTGCATTTACTGCTAACGTACACCGAGGTTCATAGGTGCCTCTCAGCCAAGGGTCTCCAAGCCCTTGCGCAGCCTTCGAGCAACGTGCTCGCGTGAGCTTGCTTCTTGCAGCCAGAAAACCCCGTGGTGCAAACCCAGTGCAAGAACCCCTGTCTGACTGGTGCCAGGCGAAAGGAAAGCTGTTGGCGATGCCACCCGCCGCCACCCTTCACCAGAGCCTGGCGTCCCTTTGGCCGGTGGCTCTAGGCACAGGGGACACGGCAGTGGCCATGGGACGTTCGTGGTGGGCACACAAGCGTTGCGTGATGGTGTTGCAGTGTTGAGGCCCGGTGAAAATTCACACAAGGTGACAGCTTGCTTGCTTGTTCATAACAGAGATGGCACTGCAGAGTTGGCTGTGGATTTATGCCCAGAAAAGGGGATTTATATTGTTTAGACATTTTCCTTTGTGTTCAGAGCTGTTTACTGACAAACATATTGGGAGGTATTAAAAATAAATGTCGGCTGAAGACCAAGATCTGATATTTCTATCTGAGAATGAGGGAAGCCATAGAAAATATATCAGAGTGGTTCTCTCCCCAGGGAGAAGAAATATCACACTTTCTTTCTGTTCCCGGTTTATTATCTACTTGTTTATTTTTTAAGGCAGAATAGGTTCATTTTCACCAGTCATGGGCTCTTGCTTGAATCCCGAGCCTCAAGGCTCCCTGGGGAGACATGACTGGCATACACCGAGTGACCTTGGGGATGCCGTGACTCACACCACACTCATCCTCTCCTGCCTTTTCACACCTCTGAGACCCACGTCTCAATCCTGCGGCTTTACACGTTCCGCTCCTTAATCTGTTTTCCCTCCTAGGTAGAGGTGAGGTGCAAAAGGCTGCTTGGCTCATGTTTTCCCCCATCACGGCTCCCAGTGCCTGAACCACACAGTGCAGTCTCTTGATTCCAGTAAGATTCCCTCTCTCTGTCTCTCTTCTTCCTGTGATGCCCTGAGAGCCACTGCCTCCTTCATCCCTGTGTCCACACGATGCTCTTGCCTTGGGCTGTGTGCAACGCAGCGTCCGTGGAGACTTTTGCACCCAACAGTGGGCTTCAGCTGCACGGACGATGCTGCTGCAGTGTTACAGGGGTTGCTGGTGACTGGACAAGTTATTTGGGCCATCCCTCATGATTCAAAGAGCCCTAGCTACATCCAGGCCATATTCTGCAGGAGCAACTCTCTTTTTCTCTGGCTGTTTCAGCTCCAGATAGTGTTCTTCAATTTCTATACTAAAGCCTTAAATCCTGTCCTCTTCTCCCAGCTGTGATGTCCTGCTGGAGATATCGGTCTCCTTTTCATAGTTAGTGAAGAGCTTTGGGATCTTTTGGAAAGCAAATGAAAGTCCCCCAAATCAATCCACACCATTAAAGGGAAGGAAGCCCTGCAGTGCACTGCTGAGTCCTGTTTATTTGTCACAGTGGTAGGGAAAAAGCCTTGTGTGATGTTAACATGTTAAGGAATTTAAGAAATGAAAAACCAAAGTGCTAAAATTTTTCATGCCTCTTTTTTAAAAATTCTTTTTTCTGAGAAAATATAACTCCAAAAATCGCAGAATTAATTTTGAAATGAAAGTCCATCATGAAACAAAACATAAAGCACTTTGCAGCAAAGTGGAGAGCTCTGTGATGCAAGGGAGATAGATGCTCAAGCAACCAGGAAGGGTGAAAAAACACATAGTCTTGAGATGGGAAAGAAGAAAAGAAGACGGCTGCAGACAGCACTTGTAGCTACAAGGGACAGCAACAACCCTGCACTAATGAGATGACACCAAAGGTGGGAGAAGAGCACGGCAGGTCTGTGTGCTATTTGGTGGAGAAAAGCAACCCAGCATTGCTTTGGCCGGGGAGAGCCACATACCCGGGTGGTGGAAACAGCTGGGACCTGATACCAAGAGGAAAGAACAGATCAAAGCCTTTCAAGGCTGCTGGGGTTTAGCCTAGGGCAGAGCTGCTTTGGGCTGAGGCGATGTAAGTAAAAGCCCCCTCTTGCTAAGGCAGAGCTGAGGATCAGGCCAGATGAGCTGTCTTTGCAGCAGGGGTCGTCAGGCTCTTGCCACAGTCTTGTTCCTCAGTCAAATGCAGTTGTTTTGCCTTTGACTGTACAAGAAGCAATCAAGGTGTAACATGCACATGGGAAGTTCACCCAGATACTTCCCCAGGTTGTCACACGCTTCTTTTTTCTTCCTAACTGTAAATATGAAAACAGGGCTATTTGTATCTTTCTTTGACATTAATTGACTTCTCAAATTAATAACTCTTCTGTGTAACTAGGAATGCAATTATTGCTTTGTTGTGCTGATAGCAGATATCCAGCCAGAAGGAATCATTCCTACCAGCAAACTCGATTGCACTAATTAAGCTGTACGAGTCTAACCGGAGGTGGGTCATGGTAACCTGTCCCCAGAGGTGCCTCCTCCGTTATTATAAACCAGTTCTGTTGCAAAAACATAACTGATTGCATGCGTGCGTGTGCATGCGCATAACCTCGAGTCAGGAGTGATGAACGGCTGATTACGGTGGTGGGACATGAGTATACGTGATTGCTGTGAAAAGTCTCCATGCTGACTCAGACAAGGGCTGTCCTGACCAAGAGCGGGCACAGAGCTGGAGCGAGGAGGCTAAGGTGCTCTCTTATCCTGAGGTGTGATGACAACCCACACCGCCTCCCATATATTTTGTTTGCCTAGCCTGAGAAATCTTTGACAGAGGGGCTGCTTCTTAATGCTAGCAGTTACTGTCAGACCCTATGAGTATGGCTGGGCCCATGGCAGTGACTCTGTGCAGAGCCGTCTGCTCCTCCTCCACAGCAAAAGGGACAGCATCTCTGAATGCAACACAATGAGTAATGAGTCTCACTGCTGCTGGATGTGACCAAGGTCGTGATCCTGCTCATTATTCCCTGCCCTTGGCGATTCCCAATCAAGGGAGGCTTGGGACCCACTTGGCATGGGGGTGCAAGCTGGGAGCCCCATGAATCACCTTCTGCCCACAGCTATTGCAGTTTCAAGCAACACATTCTCCTCCTGCGGTTCTCTCCCTGCGAAGGCCTCAACAGTGCCAAACTGAGCCCCTCAACCACTCACGCCCTGCTCCAAGCTCACCGCGGCCAGTGGAGGGGTGCGGAATGAAGACCCCGGCTGGCAGTGACAACCCCTTCCTTCTAGCTCACTCGTCAAAACAAGAACAGCAACAATCTGCCGTTTCTCCAGCTCCGGCAAAGGGTGAGGGTGCCTTGCAGACAAACAACACGCCAGGCCCTGGAGTCTAAGTCCTTTGTCTTAATACAGTGTCAGACTGGAAGAAAAAGGGGCCTGGACACCACTGCGGTGAGAAATGCCTTGATACATAGATGCATTAATAGGGGAAGGTCGTGGGTTATGACAGAGGGAGATGGAAGGTCTTGCAAGTTCCTCCAGCTCAAAAACAGTAACGATGAGGCTTAGTGGGTGGAGAGCATTCAGCTATAAAACATGCTAACGATAATGTGATTTCGAAAGCTAGGAGCTTTGTCTCAGACGTGCTGTGTATGCAATGACTGCAGCCTGCCCCCAGGTCTGTACACAACCAATAACAGGATCTTTGGGTGGGCAGCCTCTCCTTGCCTGCGCCACTCACGAGCCAAGGGGAGACTTTCTGTTGCACATCCCTGATGTCTCATTGCTTCTCCAGTCCAAGACTCTGGCTCTTGTCTCACCTCTGAGCTCTGCTCCACACTGCTGGAGTTAGAGAGGCCTGGGGCAGGTGCTTGAGGATTACATGGAGAGGTTAACGGAGTTGTATTGTTCAAAACATAAAAGATCATGCAGGAAAAAAAAAAGAATTTTCCCATAATAGAGTTTTCATTCGGCGCATTTTGCTAGTTATGTCCCCAAACAGATGGCTCCACCAACTCCGTGCCAGGCCTCTAATCCTCTCTAAAGCACCAGTGAATCTCTGACCGAGGACTTGCTGCATGCAGCAAAATGTACCAGACGGCCTAATGCGGAGGCAATTGGAGCCTCTTAACGTATAACAACATCATCAAGGCAAGAACAGTATTGTGGAGCCAGGCAGCGCTGGCTTTCCACAGCAGCAGAACTACGCCAGAGCAGGTCTGTGCTGCTCTACGGAGGACAGCAGCTCTGTTTGGCTCGAGCAGTCACATCCACCGGCGGGATGAGCTACATCTAAACACAGCCTGGGGAGGACTGCAGCGGTGATGGGTATGAGCTAGAATAAATGCCAGGTGGCAATAAACATGGGAACAAGTGGAATAGCTGCCAGAAATTGCATTCAGAGCCACTGACCACTCTTGGGTCACGGGTCACCCAGAAGAAGTAACTCTGTACGAGGGAGGATGTGAAGGGCTCTCCAGTGGAGGGCTGGAGCTAACGTGCAGTGATGGCGAGTAGGACGGCCAGCTTACCTGTACTGGGTGACGGCAGGGTTCGCCTTGGCGGAGCAGTGGAATTTGACAGTGTTATCCTCTAGCACCGGCTGCGGCTCCACGGATAAGTTCACCAGTGGTGGGTCTGCAAAGAGACAGAGACAAGCCCAGGAGTGATGTGAAGACCACAGTTAAAAATCCCATTGCCCACTGACTGCCAGGGTCCCCAGGTTTTCTGGACCTGGGAAGCAAAACTCAGTCATGAGAAAACAAGGCAACCCACCCCGAGACTCCTTCATGCTGTGATATAATGCTCAGGGCTTTGTAAAACAGGGTACAGGGCCATACTGTGCACAGGGCTTTACAGATACTCCGTCAGACAGCTCTTGCCTTGGAGGGCTTCAGTACATAAAACAGAAGAGAGAGACAGTGCTGTCTCTCTAGGAGGTAGGACTACAAATATCCACAGTCCAAGTGATGTGACACCTTGCTTAACCCATCGTTTCACGAGTAGGCCTAGCCCCAGCCTGGCTGGGCAGGCCTACTGCGTGACTCCTATTCTGCCTCAGGAAAATGTTATCGGCATAGGGGAAGTTCAACTGCAGCTTCCTTAGTCCCTGTTAGCAGCTAATGTCCGAGCTGCTGGCTGATATGGCAAAGCCTGGGTTTAGCCAAAACCCTTCAGCAGTTGCTCTACCAGGCTGGTTTTCTCCTCCCCTTTGTAGCTGTGTGATCACTTGTACCCTAAAGCAGGCGGCACTCAGCCAAAAATGCCCTCAGCCGCTTCCCTCCCATCTCCCCTCTGCGCCCGGGAGCTACCAGCAAGGGGTTCCTCCCAGGACGTTTGGTGAGATGAGGGCTTTTCCAACACGCACACATACACCTCATACAGGGGAAGCCTGCTGGACACATACCTAGAGGGAAGATGCTGTCCCTGCCTCCCTATCTGTCTGCTGCTACAACCCAAAGCACATCCCCATGCCCATGCCCATAGCCAATACTGGGGAGTAGAAGAGGCTCAGATGTGGCAGAGGCCTGTGGTATAAAAGTCCTTTGGGGTAGATACCCACCAGGACAGTGGCATGCACCATTATCTCCTTTACTCCTACAGGCTCCAAACCCTCCTTCCAAACAAGGGTGCTCGCACCCGAGCGCCTCCCCACACCAGTCTACCAGGCTGCCACACCAAGCATACCCTTCGATGTAGCATTTCACTTCAAAAACATTAATGCAGGCTCTGATTCCCATTTAAGGAAATAAACTTGCCTGCTTTGAAAAGTTCCCCTTTAATATCTCACTGGGTAATGATGATCTTTTGTGTATCTGCTAACTTGAAAGTGGCATTTCTGCTCTTTCATCAGCCTAATCTTCTCTGGCAAGTCCTTATTGGTGTCACAGGCCTTTTGGTTCCTCCGACTGGTGCTCCATTTCTCCTCGCCTTTTACATGTTAAGCATCTAAATGCTTTAGCAGCAAACAAAATTTTGAAGAGAACTGATGAAAGCAAGCCAACAAGAAGAGAAAAGGCTGGGATGTTTAGGTGGATAATAAGGATATCCAGAGTTGTTTTAATTTTTCATGATATCTCAGAAAGGATGTGAGACTTCCAGCTTCAGGTTTTAAGGATGAAACTTCATTTGAGAGAAAAAAAATTTCATGTGGTATTTCGGAGCTCTTCTGTCTTCCCAGAGGCACCGTTACAGGTCACTGTTAGACCGCACAGTGCTAGAGAGACCCACGATCGCGCTCTGCCCAGCAATTCCCAGAGAGGTTAGTTAAAAAGGAAAAGTAACCAAACAAAAAACAGAATGAAACGGCTGTGTCAAGAGGTTTTTCCAGAAGATTGAGATGATGCCTGAAGAACGAGTTGTCCTGTTGCAACTCGCATCGGGGCCACGGAGCGGGCGGGGGTGAGGCCAGCTCCTCAGTCCAGCCGTGCCCTCAAGTTATGAGGGTCTGATATGGCACGTGCAAAAACGTATCCTAAAACAGGATGCACTGTGTGTTCACCTCTGCCTGCTGCCTCTCTCCTCTTCCTAAATGTCTCAGCAACATTGCTGCCGGGCTGGACCACGGGGAAAGGATGCGTATTCTGTGTGCCAGAAGACAACGGGGCCACTCTCCTCTTCAGTGTTCGAGCAGAGGGGAACGGGGGTGGCCTGGGTCCCAGCTGCGGTGGGAGCCAGTCTAGCTGCTTGGGGATCCCCAGCTCGCTGTCCAAACAGCCCTCATTTAGTCACAAGCCAGGCTGGGTCGCTCGGTGCGCTTGGCAAGCGAGGGCTGGCTGCTATTGATCTGTGCTGCCGCCTGCGAAGGGAGCCCGCAGCGCAGACGTCACTCCCCTTCCCGTCTTCATCAAGAAAGCCTTGAAGACTTTGGCAAGCCTCATGGAAAATTAATGAGAACACTGGGGATTTTATCTGCAAGACAAACGAAGCCGGGTTGGAACCATGGGGAAAAAAACCCCCACCAAAATAAACAAAAAGGCTTGAGCCAGAGCTGCGGTGGAGACTGGGGGACAGCCCTGGTGACCTGAGGGAAGCTAAGCTGATTTATACCCATTGGCCCGGGGAGACTTCCCTTCACGTTTTGCGTGGGTGAACATCCTGGAGCACAGTGCTGGTGGAAGGTGTTGGCATCGCAGGGCTGGAGACTGCAGTATTTCCTGCTCGGACACGCTGAAGCCACGGCTCTATTGCAAGCCCAAGGAGCGGTGGTGTCGTTTAATGGTGACCAAGTTTCCCCGCTGGCTCCCCCCTCAGAGCCCAGGCCACCAGCCTCCTTCACTGAAGACAAGAGAAGGTCCTGCTAGATATCTGGTTCCCTGGAAACTGCTCTGCTCTCCCCCTTTGCTTGAAGGTATGGGCTCTTCCTGGGCACACAGATGTGGGAACAACCCCACTGCCACTGCTCTTCTTCATCCTCGCTCTCCGTGGGGTGGCTGTGGGCTCTCAAATCCCTCCTGCCAGCACTCAGGGAACCGCTTTGCTAAGGTAACAGCAACCAGTTTCACCTGAAGCACAGAGTTCGCCCTTTGCCAGTCCTCGGGCGTAGGGAGGAAGCTGCTGGAGCAACGCTACGTGCAAAGGCACAGGAAGGGTTAGCACTGAGGAAGCTGAAGGCGAGGAGAGGAAAGGAGAAAGCCTGTCCATAGGCAGAGACGTTGAGAGCCCTCAGCTGTTTTGCAGGTCTGTATCCAAAGCAACCCTGCATTACTCCAGCCTGCCTGGCAGGGGATGGGTTGGGATCATCCCTGCAGGAAGGCCACCAGCTGGGGAAGAAGGGGGAGTCTCCGAGGGGGCCTCCGCAGTGACCTGGGCACGGAGCTGCGGTGAGGCCGGGCGCCGCGGTGCAGGCAGCCGGCATTGGCGGCAACCTCGGCACGATGGAGACGCAGAGGGCCAGCGGCAGGGCCGGCGAGCCAGCGTGCCGCAGCGCCTCCTCCTCCGCCACGTCCCCACCTCATTAGGCGTGGTGATATTTACCCAGCCAGAGCCCTGCTTTGTCGCCAGCTAAGCCACCTGCCTTTTTGATGAGAAATTATGACGGGAAATTATAGGTATTTTCAATTTACCCTAATCTCATTTTAAAATGTGCAATTCAAATGACAATAAAGATGGGCGCAGTTGGGAATATAAATGAGCTTCACTAACATAACAGCCCAGAGATATATAGCCCGCTCCTAATTCATTTGCAGGCATCCTGACACTTCCCCATTGTTATACAACAACAGCTAATCACCTTCCTTTGTTAAGTATGAATCACACTTCTCTTTAGTAGCTTCCCCATTGTTTGATGGGTTAGTCGCTGTGCCTACGATTTACAGAGGAGCCTCTTTGTATTAAAATGAGCCCAGCTCCCTCCTGCACTCAAAATAAAAAATGCAGATGAAAAAGAAAAAGAGCAAAGGAAATGAATTAAAGTCTTTGATCTTCCCTTTCACAAATTAGAAAGCTTGTGCTGTCTAATACGGTGGTAACGCTTGTGAGCTTCCCCATGAGCCGCCTGGTGCCTGGAATAGCACCAGGGTAGGGTTTGTGTGTGCGACTGGTGTTTTGGGGTATTTTAGAAAAAAAAAAAAGACACAAATTGTAACTCATCAGAATGTAATTCCACTCGGTTACAATTATAATTCCTGCCTGGCTTCTCGTAATTAACTTGAATGATGGAAGCAGATAGACCCAGCCTACAGGCTGCAGGGAGGAGAGCGTGCCTGCCAATGCTCGCTCGCCCAGGTACGGTGCATCCGAGCACGCTCGCGGCGGGGGACCAGCATCGCCCCTGACCGCTCCTGCAGCTAGTATGGCACACGCACCCGAGCGCACCCATCCACTCGGACTACTTTCACTTCAGTCCCTGGGAAATGAGGGCTGCAGAGGCACCACCAGCAGCGCTGGCCCTGCTCTAAGACCGCGACGCAGTGGGGACCTCCATGGGGCAGCCGGCTCTGCGCTGGCTCTTGCGCTGCTGCCTGTGAGATGCTTCGAGACCCCTCTCCATCCTGCCCTCTCTGAGTCCAGCAGCTCAAATGATGTGGCAGGACTTGGTAAAATCCAGATTAATTCCTTGCTCTCCCCTCCGGACACAGAGACAACCTCTTGAAAACCTCTAGTCTCTCAATCTAAAAGCAGTCTGTGGGCAAAGGTTGAAATGATCAGGAATTAGGAGCTTAAAGCGGACTAAGATGCCTAAAACCCTCAGCACCTCTGGGCTTTCACGCTTCCCAGGGGGAAGGGCAAAAGGGAATAAAAACACTCCCATATTGCAAAGAAAAAGACAGCATGAGGTGCTCCGATACAGCAACCGATATAGCAAGGCCATCTGTTTGCTTGTCGCCCCAGCCCACAGACCCTCCACTTTTTATCTCATACTCTCACCTCCTGAAAAAAAATCAGGTACAGCCAAATCCTTTCTGGTCAGGAAAAAAGGTGTAAAAATGAGCAACTACACATGTGTGTGCAGAGGCTCGGAGCAAACGGCTTTGGATAAGCAATAATCCTGCTCCTCCCCATCCCGGCATGCCGGATGTGAATTTCCATACAGCCACTGGGCTCTGGCAGTATAAATAGTTTATGGCATATCAAACTATTAAACATGATTTTAATCCCACTTGTGATGTTCGGCGCATATCTCACAGGAGGCTGACTTTGATGTGGCTGGTGGAACGGAAATCACATTGAACAGATGTTCCAGCTGGAGTCACTTAGTGTTTCCATTACAGACTCTGCTCTGGGTTTTTTTGGGGTTTCTTTTTTCTTTCTTTTTTCCTTTTTTCGGAAAGGGGAGGGTGTTTATGACTCAGCTATTTCACTGCAGCTCAGGCTAAGCTTGGCAGGCAGATCCGGGGCCCGCATGAGACTGTTGGGAGCCAAACTTAAACTTCCCACCAGCTGAAATAGGATATTCTCTCCCACCGTGAGCGCACACACGCGCACACACCCTGGGTAGGAAATAAACCCTACCCTGGCATTTCTTTGCTGAGTGTGAGCTTTTTCGATGCTGTTTTCAGTGCAAAAGAAAATGAAAGCAGGAGGAGTGATTTACTGGCTACTGCTTCCTGGGAGGGATTATTTTTGCTTCCCTGCGATTATTTTGCAAGGCTGACGCTTTCAAACCAGAACAGCAGCTACTGTGCAGCCGGGCAACGTTTGCCATGGTGCGAACGGCGGATCCGGAGAGGCGCGCGCTCCAGGCCAAACGCAGCAGGCCGTGCCAGGCTGGGGAACGCTCACCAGTAAAACAACTGTAAGGATTGCTGGGCTCCTTCCTTATTCTTGCAGAAACCACTTCTTTTTTCCCAAGGTGCTATTACTCTGTTGGCTCTTGGAAGAAGACCCACGGGGAGGCCTCATTTCATCACCAGGGTGGTGCAGGGGGCACGCAGCCTACCTTGCCTTTGCAGCCAGCCCTGCCTGAGGACTGCTCTCCAGGAGAATGGCCGGCCCAGACCTTATTGCTAAAGGAAAGCACCTTTAGCTCTACGCAAAGCGAACATAGCCGCCTCCCTGCACGGCAGGGAGTGTGTGACGCTAACGGACTGGGCAGCACCTAGAGCAGGCTCTTGCATCCGGGATCCAATCCACCCCAGTACAGGCTGGTTAATCCATCCTGGTATTATTCAATCCCTCCATCACCCATCCAGCACTGGGAAATTGAGATCCTCATTAGACCCCCATTAAGAACAACACACTTTTAATAGCTGGATAGGATATTATTATTATTACGTTCACAGCATGGGGAGTATTTAATGGTTTGGAGTGGAAACTGGTGTTCTTTATTGGGTCCTTCTCTTTTGAAAGCAGATTCCACCAGGCTCAGGGATTCAGCTCACGTTTCCTGCCCCGTACTGTACAGCACAGTGAAATGATGTCTCAGGCTTTGCGTTGTTTGTAGGAATGCGTGTGCGTCTCTAGCTATTGTAACTGTTTGCCGGCTGTGAAATAACCCATGCTATTATCTCATTTTATCTGGCCGGTTCTGTCAGGACATGCTATAGTGCGACCCAAGAGCCTGTTAATCTTCCGGCAGCAAAAGCTGGAAGTCTTAAATGGTGAATTTTCTGCTGTGCTTGAGTTTGTTCAGTCAGTTTTAATTGGACTCTGGAAAGCAGCTGGCATGCTAATATTGAACACCCTGCATTTGCAAATTGTTGGTAAATACAGCTGCAGGAATTGGGTGTGCAAACGAAGCCTGGCTGGAGAGCGGTCAGGATAAGCCTGAAAGCAACAGCTATTGCAGAGGAGGAGGGAAGACTTGTGAAACATCTCAGCCAGCTGAATTCTTGAGGAAGGAAGATTTTGCTTCACGGCTTTACAGTAAAAGGTACGCGATATTACTCTCAGCACGCACCTGTCCCCATCAGATGGTGATCTACACTAGCTGTACTTCACAGGAGGGAGAGTTCCCACAGAGCACTTAGGCGTCTAACAAGCTATCTAGATGCAGAACCAAAAGCTAACCGCTGAACAGCTTGTAAGACTAGAAACGCCCATTTTTGTACCAGAAATCTTAATAAGCCTTATCTCTGCTACTGGCTGTGCCCAGAAATGTTGCTTTCTCAGTCAAAGCCATTTGGGATCCATCCCTGCTCCAGAGGCCCCAGAGGGGGCCAGATCAGGGTGTGCAACGCCCACCAATCACTCAAAAGCATGGCAGTTGGCACCACCAGTAAACCCCAGGGAAGAAAAATCCGCAAACCCCAGCATCCAGGTCCTGATCCATGCAAGTCGGACCCATGGCAGTAGTCCTGGGGGCAGTAACGGAGGCACTGGGGATGCTCAGGTCAAACAGGACCCAGAGCTAGCTCAGCCAGCCATGTACTTACGCTGGATATCAATGGTGACGGAAGTCTCCTTCCCGCTGGGAATGGCTTTGTTGGTGGCCCTGCAGACGATGCTCTCCCCGTTCTCAATGTCTGAGGGGGCGATGAAAAGCGTGCTCATGATACTCTCCCTCTTGCCGTCACGGAGAAGTGTCTGCTGGGGGAGAAATGGAGATGAAACAAGGCAACTTCCTACAGGAGAGAGGTGCAGCCCCTTTCCTCCTGGCTGAGAGTCGTGCTAGGCTCTGTACACACAGGGCTTTGCTCTTATGGGTTTGTCAGCCAAACAGCAGTCTCTGCAATAACAATTCTCCGGCTGGAATCTGCCAAGAAGCCTTAGGGGAATAACATAGACAAATTTCACTGCACTTGCCTGGGAATTGGGTACTTAACTCCCATCTGCTTCCTTCCAACCCTGCTGTGCCTAGACCTGAGAATCACAGCTCCAGCGAGATACATGTCACCCACCACCCTAGGATGGGGAGAGCCAGGGGAGAGATAGGGCCACCAGCTTCTTGAACCTGCTGTCACCTTCTGCACCTGTGTAAAGCAAGTGTGATAAGCTGCCTGGGCTGATCCACCTGCAGTTCACAGCCACTTTGTGCACTAAGGAGTGGTGACAATAGCTGCTGGCGGTGGAAGACTGATCCTGTGAAAATTCCCGAAGACAAAGGGATGGCAGCTCTGCTTGGCATGGCCAGGTGGAAAGGGCCATGCATGCGTAGAGGGAAGAAACTATTGTAGGGGACAGCAGAGCCAAATCCGTCCCAGGGGCAAAATGGAGAACTAGGACGCCTGTGTCTTTCTTGGGACTCACTCCCACCCTTGGAAAATGAGGACCTTTGTGAATCCATCTCTACATCTCAACAAGGGGTATCCCATTGCGTGTAATCATGCCCCCTCCCAGCACCAGGAGAACTAATTCTTGCACCGAGCAATGATTATTACTGTGCATTTCATTTTGGCTAACCAGCCAAGCAGCACATGCTAATGGGGGAAAATATGAGGGGGGACGGTGAGAGGAGCACTGCAGTTGCTAGTGGGTGGGGAAGGGGTTGAGCCTCCCAGCATTGTCCAGTGTGGGACGTGGCCTTGCTAAAGGCCACCTGCTCCCTTTTTGGTTGCAGCGTGCTAGTGCATGGGGCCTGGGCCGTGCTGCTCTGACGCTGGAGCCAGTGGACACATATGGCCAGCCAGTGCTCCCAGGAGTCAAGGCAAATTTTTTCTGCTGGTTTTCATGGCAGCTGGACAGGGCCCTTTGGAGCAGAGACTCTGCCAGCAGGGATGGGTGCAAACCAAGCCCAAAGACTTCATGGCGCCTCCAGGGACACCCTCATAGCATCCTTGCTGCGGGTGGCTGTGTAATGCACCCAGTGCTCCGTTTGCTTCACCCATGCAAAGGCAAAAGGGCTCTGCTCCTCTGCCAGCTAAAAGCTCCCCTCTCCTTGCCTGTCCCCGACATCTGTATGTGTGTGAGCCACGGGCCCCTGGCTGCTCTGCAGTTGTCCAGCCCAGCCCATGGTAAATCTCTGGCTTGTCTTGTACAGGTGCTCACTGTGACAGGGACCTGAGGGTGCTGGAGATCCAAAACCTTGGGCCTGATACAGCAGTGGTTAACCACTGTCCCTACTCAGTCTTGATGCCTCATTTTTTCCCTGGACTTATATGCTGTTGACTTCCAGCCATGGGGGCTTGTTGTGCCTTTATCTGCTAGCTTAGAGAGCCTTCTTTATCAAACTCCTAATCCCCGAAAAGTTCATATAGACTGTGATCATGCTGCCCTGTAGCGTTGTCATTGATAAACTAAACCGATCGAGCCTTCAGAGGCTCTCAGGATGTGGCACAGTTTGCAATCCTTTAATCATTCCCTGGGCTTTCTCTGACCCTTCTCCGGTTTACCAGCACCCTCCAGGGACCAGAAATGCCAGAAGCACAGCTATTCCTGGCCACTGCTAATAATGGCAAATGCCCACGGACACACCCCATTCAATAACTATTAGATTGTATTTCGGACCCTGACAGTTTTTCTCTCTGATAAGTCACTACAATCAGCCATGAAGCTGTGGAGGAGCAGGACCAAAACATATTAGTCCATGATCATCAGGGCCCTAAGTGCACCAACTGCCCTTAATTTCTTTGAGGAACCTTGTTTGGGGCCTCCAAGGCCCCCCCGAGGACGTCTTGAATCCCAAGCCGAGCGCTGTGGGTCCTGGCTGCACGGGACCTTGTCCCACGGCTCCCCCAAGCTCTGGGTTAGTCTCCAAACCCTGCAGGAGGACCCAGCCCTGCAGGATCCTATAATACCCCTTGTGGCCTTAGGGATCCCTGCCCCAATTCCTTGCGCCCTTCAGTGGGGATCAGGCGAGGGGATGGGGAGTTATTAGTCAGATGTGGCTAATCTGTACTGCCTGACTGTGATTACAGTGGGATTATCTATTAATCAGTTGATGGATTTGAAATTCAGAAAAACAAAGAAATTATCACTCAGTACAAATGTCTTCAGGCAAACAGTGAACTGAACAGCATTTTTACTTGGTTGACTGGAATATCTGGATCAAATCAAATCCAGGTTGGGTTTTAGATTTTTCTGAAAAACCAAAAGAGAAAATTGAGGAACAGTCTTAATGGAAAGTTCAAAAGGGAAAGGTTTCTCAGACCCCCAAAATCAAAACCTCTCATTCAAAAAATGGCTACAACTGGCCAGTAGTTTTTCTGAAGGGTGCTTTTTTTTCTTTTTTTTTTTTAACGTGACAAGGTTAAGACAGTCACAAAAAGGCTTTATATGGTCAAGCCAGGGTTTCTTGTGCATGCGTGTAAAAAATGGCTCATGGCAGGGAAGTATTGGTGGAAGGGCCTCATGGAAATTTCCAGTAAGGCAGGAGAAGTTGAGGTTCTGCATCACTGCTGCCAACCCCAGCTGTGCAAGACTATTTTATCGTAGAAATAATCAGCACTGGTTCTTTTTACTGACTCTGAGTCAGGAGCTCTTAGGATCTTTTGGGCTCATGATTACAGCTCTTATACAACCTCAACTAAAAACTAACTTTTGGTGTTTTACTGAAGGCAGAGATTCACAAACAACCTGATTCCAGCAGCCGGGACTTTGGGGAAGGGGGATAATAAACCAGGGATTTTTGATCGAATTGGGAGACCTGGTTACACACCTCCAGATCAGTCCACAGCCTCTGTTTCTGCCCCCAGGAGAGAGGAAAGATGCTTCCCCCCTGCACAGAACAGGGCTTCCCTCCCAGACCATCCCTGACAGCTGCTTAAGAAGCAAAGGAAGTCTCTGCCTCCCATTCGAGATGGATCTGCAGTTCCCACACAGCCTGAAACCTCAGCTGCAGAAGATTTTTTGGAAGTCTTTTTCTAAAGAAAAATAAAAGACGGGGGGGCACTATTCTTCCTTCTCTGCTACCCACTACCTGTGGGTCTAAAAGAGAAAGGGCTTAACCGTTGGCCTTCCCAGGGCCAGGCCTGCAGTGGAGAGGAAGGCTTGGAGAGAAAGGAATAAGTTAAACAAACAATTGCATGTTAATGGCTTGGATTTTAATTACTTTCACTTGAATTGGCAGAGGAAGAGGTCAGTTCTCTCTGGTTTTAATTAGCGCTGCCTCCTGCATTGCACGCGAGGAGATGGGGCCATTTTCCCCTCTGTTCATACCCATCAGCTACAAGGAAGCAGCAGCAAGGCTCAGCACAGCAGCTCAGTTTAAGCCACCTTCTGGGATATCAATGTGCTTTGCAGAGCAAAAGGGAAGAAGAGAGGAGACTGTTTTAGCTCCGTTTTGTTTTTCCAAGCAAACCGGGATATTGCTGGGGCAAGACTGGATGGAGGCTTCACGGTAGTAGCACAGGGTGAAACGTTTAATAAAAGATCTCAAGAGCTTGTGAGAAGAATGGCTGTGACTCTTAACTTTGAAGTTGCTTGCATTAGAAATGACTGGAAATGGACCTGTTTTGTGTCTTGAATTTTGTTCTTTAGAAATTTTCATTAAAAATGTCAAGTGTTACTGAATCTTTAGCACTTATCAGACATCAGGTTTCTATAAACAGGAGAACATGTGGGTACCCATTCTAAGTACACTGCTGATTGCTCTTTGATGTTTTCCTTTACAACCCAATAAAAGCTTTCCATTTAAATTAAAAAATGCCAACAACTACAATAATTTTTCATGGAAAATTGCAGTTAAGAGGTGGAGACATATGTCACTGCAAAAATCTTTTGTTCCAGAGGTTCTGCTACAGCCAAGGCCAGGTCAGTGCTGGCTGTGTGATCCTCTAAGCAACACCACAACGATGCCCAGGTGTGATTTTGAGGGGGGATGGCAAATTATCTGTGGCAAGAGGGTACAAAAAGAGACCCAAATTCAGAGTGCCCATCTCAGTGACAGCCCTAACATTTCTAACATTTCCCAGTCATGTTTTCCTCCCAGCCCCTCCATCAAAGTGGTTGCACGGGGCGATAGGGGGAGTGAGCCTCCGCTTTGCAGAGTTGAAGGAACTGCCGCGAGGTGCCAGGGTGGTGTGAAGAGCAGTACCAAGCCTGGGACACCTTTCTGAACTGAATGGAATAGCTCAGTGTGTGTCCCCAGCCCGATCTTGCCTCACCTTGGAGTAGGTGGCTCCGTTGATGACTTCTCCTTTCCGCATCCAGATGATGGAGGCTGCTGGCTTGGCGTTGTCCGCGTGGCAGGTCAAGTTCAGGGGGTCTCCTGCTCTCAGGCTAATGACCGGTCCCCCCATAATGACTGGATCATCTGGAGGAACTGCAAGGAAATAGCACAAAGGAGGGAATGTCATTTGCTAGCATTAAACAAAGCTGCCCACTGCTGCCTGTGGGGTAGCCCATAAAAAGCAAATGGCAAGAGCGGACAGGACTGTGCTCTCACACCTCTCTGTGCAGTCCATTTTAAAGAGGCTGTGGCTAGACGCAACCTCATTTCAGTATGTTACATCTGGCTTTCCTTTTGCTGCTCACATAAAAGCTGTGCCCCAGATTTCAGCAGAACAGCAGCAGAAACTGGCTGATAATTTAGAGGGGACACAGCACAGGTTGCTTCCGTGAAGGATCAGGCCTGTGGCAGAGAAATCCATGGAGGGCAACTAAACACACAGAAACACCTCTGGCCTAGGATGTCCCCGAGCTGCAAACTGTGCGAGGTTGGAGAGTATTTGGAAGAAATATCACTGCTTGCTGGCCCTGTTCTTATATTCCTCCCTAGACAACTGTAACTAGCCACTGCTGGATGCAGGATAAGGGGTTTGATTGGGCTTTGGTCTGACCCCAGTCCTCTGACTGCAAACTGGAAGGCAGGACGCGTGAGCTGCAGAGGAACAGCTCTTGCTCCAGACAGGAGCCAGAGGAAAAGCGCTGGCCTGGGCTGACAGAGGAAAGGTCGCACGTGACAAAGGCTGGGGAAGCTGCCAGTGTATGAAGAGCAACACGAGGTGTAAAAGGCCTCGTCCCTTCCGTTCTGACGGACAAGGGGGCAGGATCCGTGCCAAGACCCTGGGGGGAGCGTGCCTCTCCTCCGTAACAGCCTGCTGCATAAGCCGAGAGCAAACCCACTTGCCGCAGCCACACGCAATCCCTAACGGCGGAAAGCGCAACGGGCTCCCTGTCCCAGGGCTGCGCAGCGCGGTCTCGATGGGCTTCTGGAAGGCCACGAGTGAACTGCTGGAGGCTTTCAGAAGTTCAGCAGCTTGAAATGTGAAAGAACAACTAAGGGATCTCAGGGACTGGCGGGCCTATTTGGTCCTGAGGCTGGGTACCCACAGGGAGAGAAGGGGGCAGAGTTAATCAGAGCTCAAGGGACGTGAGGGATTTGGAGGGCAAGGGCGGGGGGCTGGATTTGGATCGCTATCTTTTGCGCTCAGGGGGCATCAGGAGCACGGTTTCTAGATGCTCGCCTTTGAACAGGGCTCCCTCGCCAGCCCTCCGTCACGGAGGGATGGAGGATCCACTGATCGCTCCCTCGCCCCGCTTTGATTTCCCTGTCGCTTTCGCTCAGCGTCTGTGCCACCGTCTCGCTGTACAAAAAGGTTGCCAAACTCCTCTCGCTCAGTCAGACGTTCCCTCTCGCCGCACTGAGTCTTTTAAGCATCTTCCTCTGTGAAAGCAGATTTTGCCGGGGGTGCCAAGGAGACGTTTCAGATCTCAACCTTTCTTTGAAACTGCCTCAGCCTGGCAGCCTGTGCGAGGCTGCGTCCTCATTACAGGCCGTGGCTTTGCTCGGTATCGCACCGCCCCTGGACACCTCTGTGCTCGCGCGGGGAAGCGTTTCATGCTGGAGACCGGGCGGGATGGAAATGGGGAAGCCGGAGACGAGGGGGACCTTTTCTGGTGATCAGCCCTCGAGGCCTGGCGTCTCTGAACACCACTAGCACAGCGAGAGATGGGAAATTCAGTTTGGAGACCAGGGCTTTCATCCTGCAGAGAGACCTTTCATCTCAGCTACACTAATTGGGTCTGCTCTAGCCAAGACCCACTCTGGAGATGAACAGAAGAAACCTTCGGTCTCTAGAGCTGTCCATCCAGCCCGGGGGCTCACATACCCTATGCAGCACGTGTGGATGAACGGGGTGGTCAGGATGGGGGGGAGGGACACAGGGACCAGTCTGGGGGGGTCAGGAACAGCAGTGTTTGTGGGTAGCACTTTGGGATGTTCTGGGACAGGAGAGCGCATTTGGGCTTGGACAAGCAAGGGGATGGACACTGCAGCACCTTCTGCCGAAGCACAAGAGCTCATCCTAGCAAAGGATGTAGAAGGAAATCACGGCTTCATACACAGCTCAGAGGAAGGCAAAACAGTTGGCCAACGTCCCCTGCCCTTCAACATCCTTGCGGAGGGGACGCTGTTGGAGAACCTGCCTGTTTTCACCAAAGTGCAGCTGCTTTTGTTGCACGTCTGTGCTGCTCCCCCCTCTCGGAGCTAGCTGGCACCAGGCTGAGCCCTGCAAAATGAATGTCTAAGTCGGGCAAAGACTGCTTTGAAATCCCCAAACACCTCTCTGCTTCTGAGCTTCCTGTGCATTTTAGCTGGCCGAGATGTATTTAAAAATGCATTCCTAGCTTCTCCAGCACGGGGCTGAATTCAAGAGCTGGAAAGGGATTATGTTCTCTGACAATTCAAAGGTGGCTGCCCGCATCAGCACAGGATTTGTAGGCAAGGCAGATGTGCTGGTTACACACAACGCTGGTCACACACACATCTGCCAAATGCTGTGAGTAATGGGATTTTTCAGCTCAGTGGGTGGAACCCAAAAACTGGGGGGGAAAAAAAGCTTTTCTACACTGATTCAAAATGTACATTTTTCACGTTACGAGAAAGTGATAAATGTGAAAACTCATGTTTTGGGTTAGTCTAAATGCATCAGCCCCTGACTTATGAAAACATGAAACTTTTGCTTCATTCTCTTCCTATTTAAGTACTAAGGAAGTTTTTTTTTTTTTTTACTTTTTAAAAAACACATTAATTTCACTGGATGCATTTATACTGTTTTCCAAAAAGAAACACACGTTTTTTCAACACTTTTTCCCCCCGACTGAAGCTAGTAATTGAATTTGACCTCAGCTTGTGAAATATTGGAAATTCATCTTGTGAAGCACGGAAAAAACCCAGCCCACAAACCCATCTCAGAATTAACTGAAGGGACTTGTACAGGGTGTCGCTGAATATTCCTGACTGATGTCCTGTAAATGGCTGGTCCCCCTGGCTGAAGGGTCATTTTGCAGCCACTGGTTTAACATAACCCCCTCAAAGCAGTCCAGCCTGTCCTTTAGCTGCCCTTTGAAACCCAGAGGACATTGTGGGATGGGGGACAACCCCACGCAGAAAAGCATGGCGCTGCCTGTTTTCCCTGTGCCAGAAAACCTTGTTTTCTAACCTGTAGTCTTGCTCCTGCTTCAGTCTATTGGATTAGCAGCAAGATAGAAGGAGGTGATACAGAGATAAGAGGCTCCAGAGGGGAGAGCAGAGGAAGAGAAGGCGAGAGAATGGGTCCTGATTACAGCTTCCCAAATAAGTGGTTATCGTCCCCCGTGTTATTCATGTAGCCATGAATTATTGATCGTCTTCAGGCTCACTAACCAGGGGATCTGGCTGGGGCAGAGAGGGTTTGATGAATAGAAATCAGCAATGTCTCTCAACATCTCTAACTTCTACGAAATGGAGGACGATGCATTACTTCCCTATGCAATCTCCAGGCTGGGAAACGAGGAAGGAAGAGAGGAACGAAAGATAAAAAGAGAGGAAGAAAGAAGGGAAAGCAAGAAGTCAGGAGCATAGAGCCGTGATCCATTATTCATCCACTGTGCTCTCAGCATTGGTTATTATTATAAGGTATCACTACAGAATCTGGTCTCCTAATTTTTAATCACGTCGATGTAGAAGTGCTAGCCTTTCTGATTAATTCCGGGATATAAATAGGAAGAGTTGTTTGGGGTTGTGGGTTTTTTTTTTTCCTGACAGCAAAGAAAAAGGAGTTAACCTATACATGCCTGGAAAATTTAAAGAGAGAGAGAATAAAGGGCTCCATGAACTTAGCACGGGCTGTCTGTGGGTGTCACTGGTGGCTGCTTGAAGGAGAAACGCTCCTGTACAATCACCTGCCTGCATACACATTCACAGACCCACATGTGATATGGGATAAACATTTATCTATACGCATGAGACTATGCCAACATACGTACACATTGACACACGTGCTCTCCCCATGTCCAGTGTTGCATGCAAACCCACTTACGCAGCACAGAAACGCAAGCGTGTGCACGCACACCCATGCATTACACTCTGTCCTTGCACAAACACGGAGCATCCACTGGCGCTGAGTGCAGCCCTCTGCAGGTTTAACAGGAGTTAGAGACATGCTTTGTGCAAGGCATGGGAAAGCTCAACCCAAGCCCATAGGGTGATGAGCAAGCTGGAGAGCTAGATGATACGCAGCTTGCCTTATAGGGGAGAGCATGCTGAGTCCTGCTGGATTACCCCCCAATGGACATTTGTTCTGAGACCTTGTGGGATGGGAGGTGAAACCTCCTCGCGGAAGGTTTCATGTTCCTAAGAGCGCACTCAGGACCTCCGTTGGAAGACCAGTTCTTTTCTTGACCAAAGACAACATTTCCCAAAGAAAACATGGCACGTTTCACCTTCTCAAAACCCCAATTTTCTGTCAAAACATACAATTTGCTGAATTTTTTAAACCCTTGGAGGACAGGCATTAATCTGCTCTGCATAGCTGTGGGCTGCCTGGATGAGTAGGCAAGGACAGCTTGGGGTCTCTGCTCCTTGCCCTTTGGAGTGCTCTGGGAAAATCACATTTTATAGCCCATCAGCATAAAGAAATACAAATAAATGCATGCTGCTCTTGGACTAGGTACTCAGCAACTTCTTAAATTAGTTGACTAGTTAGAGCCCTTCCTGCATACAGTTCTATGCTGCAAACCTTAACTGTATGAGTAATCAATAAGACCATGCAGAATTATTCAGTGCTGAACTAATACCGCAGGCTAATGCTACAGTTTTGACTAAGAAATAACATAGATGTCTCTAAAGACTCATGGCCGTTAGACAGCTGGACAGCGTTGTGGCAAGCCGACAGAGCCTCAATTATTAGCGGTAGTTATTGAGATAACAGGATTCTCCAGGGAGAAGTCAGCTCCTGGAAGTGGAGAAAGCAAAAAGCCCTCCAGCCACAAGCACTGCCTCCTAATTAACGGTGACTGCTTTTTGTTGTGGCTGGCATCTCCTTCCTCATCAGTTTGTTC